TTTCCAAGACCAAGCAGGGAAACACTGAACCCGAAAAGTTTCAGCTCCTTTTGGGGGGTTTGTTGTGGCTGGCCGCTGTTTTCTATGTGGCAAGGTGCTACAATCTTTGGTGTACTAGTGTTGGGGATTCGAGCACTAGCATAGATCGGCTGCATGAGGAGATTGTGAATAGAACCCGGACTCGACCGTTTGGGTGTCTTGTGCAAGCTCAGGTCAGTAAGTCTAAGGCACACCATGAGAAATTTCGAGGCGCACGGACCGTCAAGGCGGTCTATCTGGGACCTGTGCACGCCAAGGGTGGAGGCATCTTTGCCGTGCCGGTTGGAAGCAGGGAAATTGAGGTCTTCCCTGTGGCCAGAACTATCCAGGGAGGCGACACGTACGATGTAGAGACCTTGGAAGCGCTATCGTTAGAGAGACCCCTGGCTCTAGATAATGAGGACCCGGAGAGGCCTCTGATACTTGAGCCTGCTGATCATGGTGAGGATGCACCTGATGACGGGGTTGGTGGTGGTGCGGGACTTGATGAAGATGGTGATGAAGAGATGATTGCTGATGATCTCGGTGACTATTCTCCCTCTGTGCCTCCAACTGAAGCGGAGGAGATCCTCGATGATGAGGGGAATATGGAGATTGATTGGCTTACTAATCACTATCTTGAGTCTTTGTTTAGAGGCCCTGACCTTCGAGCCACCTCGAGTGCAGTCGCTAAGTCTTTTGATTTGAAGTTTGGAGGGACTAAGATAAGGTGTGCTGTTCCACAGAACGCCGTGTCTGAGACATCAGGGGAAAAGCTCGAACCTGAATTGCTGTATGCATCCATGAAGTTGGAGCTGGAGGAATTGGAATCCTTCAATGTAGGAGAAGTGATCTCTGAAAGGGAAGCTCGTCGTTTGGCTAAGGAGAACGGCCGTCGTGTGTTGACAAGCCGCTGGGTGAATACTGTGAAACGGAAGGGATTGTACCGTTCCCGGCTAGTGGTTCGGGACTACGCCTCCATGGGAGGCACCACTCTTTCGGAAGGGATTTACTCGCCAACGACATCCCTCGAGGGCCTTAGACTCCTACTTGCTCTCCTGTGTCGTCAAGGTAGTGTTCTGTCGTGTGATGTAAGCGTGGCTTTCATGCACGCCGCTGTGGCAAGGCCAGAGTTTGTTCAGTTGCCTGACAACGTGAGCACCCAGAGCTCTGGGGAACGGGTTTTCGTTAAGTTGCGTAAAGCTATGAACGGACTCCGATCTGCTCCGTTGTCCTGGTATCATGAGCTGGCTGAGTTTCTTCGGTCCCAGAACTTTGAACCGAGTCTCGACCCAACTATCTTCCGTCGTCTGACCAAGAAGGGTTTGATCATCGTTCTCTTCTATGTCGATGACTTGTTGATTTATTCGGAAGATCCGAGTGAAGGGCGCAAGTTTTACGAGGAACTGCGACGGAGGTATAAGTTGAAGCTGACAGGCGAACTCCTTCAGGACTGTCCTGGGGAAGTGTCGTTCCTTGGTCGTCGTATCTTCCGTCGTAATAAAGGGGAACGCGCTGTTTATTTCGGACTAGACGAACAGTACCTGAGTACTTGTTGCGAGGAGTACGGAATAACGAAGCCAGCCCCTAAGCTTCCTTCTTTGGAGCGCCGCTATGCTGAGTTGCTTAAGAAAGGGCAGACCGCCAAGCTCAGCCCTGCTGCTCACGAACGTTACAGGAGAACGTTAGGCCGTTTGGCCTGGGCAGCTCTTTCGAGGCCAGATCTTCAGTTTATCTGCGGGTTTCTTGGGCGCCACCAGGCGGCCCCCGACGAAGCCGCGGAGAATTGCATGAGAGACTGCCTTCGGTGGATTAAGGGACTACCTCACAAGGTGCAAAGGTTCCCTTCGCAAAGAGAGATCTTGGAGGACGACCTGGAAGCCACCTCGATCTCATGCTTCACCGATGCAAGCTGGTCGGTAAATTCAGTAAGCGGCGGAGTCCTAACATGGAAAAACTGTGCGCTTAAAACGTACTCTAGAAAGCAGACGACCACGGCACTTTCGAGCGCCGAGTCGGAGCTGGCCGCGCTCACTGAGGTCGCCCGTGAGGGGCTGTACATCGCTTTGTTGGTAGAAACAATTCGTGAAGGGATGCCCCAGGACCGGGAGCATGGGTATTATCTTCTTCAAGGGTATTCTGACTCGGAATCGGCTATCTGTATCTCTAAGATGCAGACTCTTCTGAGAAAGGTAAGGCACATCGAACTCCGTGCTGCCTTCCTCCAGGAACTTGTGTTGAAGGGCCGGTTTACGTTAGAACATATACCTGGAACGATTAACCCAGCTGACGCCCTGACGAAGAGTCCTACTAACGAAAACTTGGCGAGTTTGTATGACTCCTGTGGCCTTGTCGATGAGCCGAAGGCCTGGGATAGTGAGCCTTCTGGGGTACATGTTTCGTTTGAAGAGCCCAATGAAAGTGAACATGAACGTTTTACTCCGTCTATCCCGACTTCCTGGAAAGCCGCTGCTTTGAAGCTAGCTCGTGGTGAGGCTAGGTATGTAGTGGTTGAACTTTGTTGTGAAGAGGGAAGTGCTTTGTCTAAAGCCTGCTCGAAGTTTTCTGAGATTGCCTATTTTGGGGTGACTAAAGAGATTGATCTTCTGAGCTACAATGGCTTGTGTCTCCTGAGAGAGGTTTTCGGAGTCTTGTGGAAAGGTAGTGACGTGAAGGTCTACGCGCACCTTTCTACCCCGTGTTCTTCGGGGTGTGGTTTGAGGCACCTGAGGTTTAGAAAGGGAGGAAAGGCCCTGGAGAAGTGGAGAGCGGCTCTGGCCGTCCACAAGAGGTCCTGGAAAAGGATCGAGAAGCTTCTGGAGCATCACGCAGGCAACCAGAATCTTCTTCTTTCTCACGAGTGGCCGGAAAGGTCAGGACTCTGGGGTGAGACTGTGTTTCGTAAAGTTGCTAAGAAACTTCGTCTTGATCAGGGTTGTTTGGTGGATCGTTGTTGCTTTGAGAAGGGTAACCAACGACCGTGGAAGCGCTGGTACTTCGTTTCGAACCGGAGTGAGTTCGTTTGGGGACTCGCGTCTCAGTGTTCTGAAGCCCACGACCACTATCATCTTTCCTTAGTAGAATCGGGTGTTTATCCACCTCTTCTGGGAATCGCTCTCTTGAAGAATGCAAAGAAGACGTTTGAGGAGAAGTGAAGAAGTGGAGGACTCTCGGGCATGAGGGGGTGTGAAAAGTTTGCTCCTTTCTGGTT